TACGCTGCAGCTCCTCAAACATTGAACAAAATAAAACAAGTAAAAGCATTTTTTTTTTTTCAAATTACTTTCCAAATTTAGAAATAATTTTACTTAATTTAAGTAGTGTGAGAACGCAACCATGCTCTAAATGTGTTACTTTTAGAGCATGTGATACTTCCTGTTTCCTTTTCCGCCTGTCCTGCGAAGGCCGTCTCGTTTAATTCTAGGTTGAGGACACTTCGTATATGCATCCTACAGAGGATTCGACCTCCGGAGGGCGCAGGCTTCTAAATGAGACACAGCTAGAGTCAGCATTGCTGAAGGTTACAAATGACATTCTGCTGTCCATTGATTCTGGGTCATCTGCTATCCTGATACTTTTAGATTTGAGTGCCGCATTTGATACTGTCGACCACGATATTCTTCTGAAACGACTTGAGCGTGTTGTTGGGGTTCAGGGCCTAGCTTTAGAGTGGTTTGCCTAATACTTAAAGGGGATGACTTTTTCTGTAAATATTGGTTCATTTACTTCTCCCATTGCGCCTATCCATTGTGCGTTTTCCTTCTACATGCTCTCTTTGGCCTCAAAGAGTAGAGAGTAGCTTTTTCATCTCAGATCAGTGACAAGGTGAAACACTTTCTTTCTAGTAAAGACTTTGAAATTGTAATCCATGCACTAATTTCTTCTCGATTGGATTACTGTAACACGTTGTACATTGGCTTACCTCAATCTACACTGTCTCGGTTTCAGATGCAGCAGCCAGATTCTTAACAGGAACTAATGGCACTTTTCCACTGCATGGTACGGCACGGTACGGCTCAGCCGTACTGAGCCATGCCGAGCCGAGTCGTACCACGCAGTGGAAAAGCGCCATATGAGAAGGGATCATATCTCCCCTGCCCTTGCCTCATTGCACTGGCTCCCTATAAAACTTAGAGTCGACTTTAAGACCCTTCTTTTTGCATTCAAGGCATTGCATAATTCTGCCCTGGATTATATTTGTGATTCGGCCATATACAGCCTCTAGGTCATTAAGATCTTGTGATCAGTCACTTTTATCTGTCCCCCGTTCACGTTGTAAAGCAAAAGGTGATCGATCTTTCTCAGTAGTTGCCCCGAAGCTGTGGAACGGTCTTCTCCATCACTGGATGCTTTTAAATCCAGTTTAAAGACTTATTTGTACTCTCTAGCATTTGAGTGATGCTGTGTATGTACTTTGAATAGTTGAATTGGTGTTTTATGTATTTACATTTTCATTGTTTTTGATAATTGTTTTATTTTCCTTTGTCTTTTTTTCTCTTTCCTTTTCTCTTTTAAATTCAGATTTATTTTTATTGTAAAGCTCTTTGAAACAATTATGGTTGAGATAAACTTTTGCTCTATAAATAAAATTTGCCTTGCCTATTTAGCTGAAGAGGCTCTCTCTCTATTTGTGTGAATTCCTTCTTCTGCGGCCAGAGAAGCTCTTTAGCGTAACGGACCATACAATCATCCTGATGAAATGAAAGGAACTGATAGAAACTCACCCTCCGTCATGCTCGTTCCCACATATATCTTTGCAATCAATCATTCATGTAATTATGATATTTCTGACTCTACTTGAAGGGAAAATCTCTTCCTGCACAGTTCAGCTCTAAACAAACACACCTGAAGCAGCTGAAAGAGATCTTCAGGAACGGCTGATAATTACAGACCAGCAGAAAGACTGAAACACTGAAAGACTTCAGGACTGAATCACCACAGATCAGCACAAGCCCTTGAACAACACTATATTTACTTTACCTTGAGAATATTCAGATTCAGCCAACATACAACATATGCAAACTGCAGTAAACGCACGCCACACACACACACACACACACTATAACACACGCACGCACGCACGCACGCACGCACGCACACACACACACTATAACACACACACACGTGTCTCACCATCATCACTGGGAGATTCTGCAGGACTCACTGATTTAGTGTCAGGAAGACCTACAAGAGAAGAACACAGAGAGAACAATCATACACACATATACACTACACACACACACACAGACACACACACACTGACCTGCGCTCAGACATGCAGCTATCACGCAGCAGAAGATCAGGAGTGTGAGGCTCTTCATGTTTGTCTCCGTGTTTCAGCTGATCTGTGACTGTTTCTCTGTGTCGCTCACTTCATTTATAACGTGACATCACAACGATCTGACATCACGATTGGATGAGGAATCAAACACACACACACA